TAAACAAAGGCTAAATTATTTTAAGCAAAAACATGAACATCTTAATGCTAATTCCTGCTAATGTTGTGGTACTTCTTCAGGAAGTATAGTTCCATGTTTCTACTTGTACATTAAATAATTTCCATTTTAGGAGTTTTAAAGGGTTGCTAACTGAATGTTGTCTTCAGGCAAGCGATGATGGTGAAAGTGTTGGTAACTGCCCATTTTGTCAGCGGCTCTTCATGATACTCTGGCTGAAGGGGGTCAACTTCACCCTCACTACAGTGGACATGAAGAGGTGAGAGATGTCAACATCGGGATAACAGTTCTTCTCAGATTCTCCTAGACAACATTGAGATTAAATGGTGTGCTAAATTGAGATCTACAGAAGATCTTTTCTTTTTCCCTGGAGATAAGGAGCCCAGTAATCTCACACAGAAAAAAAAGAACTCATCAATGTCTCAAACTGTACTCAGTTATGCAATCAGAGATTTTATATAATCTCAAAAAATTCTCATTAAGTTCCTTTAAAAGATGATCTGTTTATTTATGATTTCTTTGTTTCTAGAGCTCCAGAGGTACTAAAGGACTTGGCTCCAGGTTCTCAGCCCCCTTTCCTCATCTATAATGGAGAGGTCCGTACTGACACCAACAAAATTGAAGAGTTTCTGGAAGAGACCCTTGCTCCCCCACAGTGAGTATGCATTCATAGCACCAGTTCAAAGATTTCAAAGATTTTGTTGTGAGCTCCTGAAATATACAAGAATTCCTGAAAAAAAGTATCTTACTGTTTGTACAAAATGCCTAAATGTCTTCCACTACAAATTCAACCTTTTACACAATGAAATGGAAAATAACAATTATGTCAGCATCACCAAGTAAACTTGTTTGGCACTGTTTTTGCATTACAGCTATCCCAAGTTATGCTGCCGCTATAAGGAGTCTAACACAGCAGGAGATGACATCTTTCACAAATTCTCGGCATACGTCAAAAACCCCAATCCTGGGCTCAATGACAGTAAGGGCCACCCTTCTCTGAAGTTGTTTGGCCAGTGAACAGTAAAGTCTGTAACTGATGAGAAGGCAGTGAACCTTAGAAATTAGCTTCAAGACTTTAAGTCATTTTATGTTTGAAATATGGAGGCTGTCACTTCTAAAGCATTTGGGAAAACTTGTTGCTCTAAGATAGATAGATAGATAGATAGATGCATTTGAATATCAATACATTAATGGTATGGTTAATGTGTGCCTTTCAGTGCTGGAGAAGAAATTTCTAAAGAGTTTGATGAAGTTGGATCAATACTTGTTGACTCCTCTTCCTCATGAACTGGAGCAGAATCCAGATTTGTCCCAGTCCACAAGACATTACCTGGACGGAAATGCGCTCTCTCTTGCTGACTGCAACCTGCTTCCAAAACTCCACATTGTCAAGGTACTTGGTCATTTTTTCCCATTTAGATGAAAAATTCAGTAAAGTGTATATTGTAGTACTGATATAATACAGTTGCTATTTAGTGGAGGGAATGGGGAATGAAGTGAAATCTTCATCATGGTCATTAATCGTCATCTAGTTTATAGATCTAAACGTTTTGTTGACTTTATAGGTGGTGTGCAAGAAGTACCGTGGTTTTGAGATCCCTGCAGAGCTAAAAGGCCTCACAAAGTACTTGGACAAAGCATACAAGGAGGATGTGTTCCACCTCACCTGCCCCAAAGACAAGGAGATTCTGCTTGCCTACCATTCAGTGGCCAAATATCTCAACAAGTAAAACTGGACTTTAAAGGAGGAGGAGGAGGAGGAGGAGGACAAAGTTTGTGTGGAATTTTTTGTAAAGTTTTTTTTTTTTTTTTTGGTCTAATGTGTACCCAAAACTGCCTTTATTATAAATATATTCTTAATGGGAATTTTGATTATCAGAGTATATTATGGGTGGAGGTTGTTTTCGTTTATCATTTAAAAACCACAATTGTGAATACCTGATGCCTGCCTTATTCGTTCCTGCCATTTTTAGTATTTAAATGTGTCACATTTGTCTGTGGTTTTGATGGATTACTTTTGTGTGATAGCCACTCATTTAGAAACGTCTGAGAATGTTGTTTTTAAATCTGTGTGAAATGAGACATAATTGGTCTGAAATTCTACCCCATGAGAAAAAAGAAGACAAAGCAATAGACTAAACAACGCTTACAATGATGTTATTGATGTCAAAGCACACTCTTGAAACGGCCTGAATGTATAAAACAGCTTGCAAACCAATACAATTCTTATGGAAGAAAAGTGCTCTATTTGATTGCATTTGGTCAAGCTAAGAGAACTTACAGAAACACAAATATACACTGAATTTTCTCACCACTTTTCCTACTGTCAACAAAACATGTTGTCTGTTACAGTTAATATTATTAAGTTCCATATGCATGGTTTTGAATGAATGGTCTTTTGGTTTTGAATGACATTTACTTTTAGTTATATTACACGCCATCCTTTTTATTTTTAATGTTATGGTTTGCACAGTTATGGGTATTATCTTGGTATTGTGTATGTCGTTTTGTTTGGCATGCAATAGCCTCTTGAGACCCAGCTATGGAGTTTTTGCCTCTGTAGTGGACATTATATTTGAGTGAATTTCTCTGAGACCTCACATGTCACAGTTGTACGTCTGGATGTCCTGTACAGAGCACATTCAGGGCTCTCCAGAGATACCAAATGATTGGATGTTTCACCACAGCCACTCCCTCTCCTCGGTTTTTAAAAATGACTGACATTAATTTAGTGATAAAATTGTACATCCTTATGGAAATATGATAATATTTTGTAATTACAATTTAAATCTGATTAATCTTCAAATTGTTTGTAATAAATAAACATCTCAGGAAAATGTTATGGGCTTTCAAATCAAAATATGACTTCTTGTTACTGCAGTTATATCTAATCAAATGCACATTATTATTCGTTAGTTTGGGTTAAACAAATCATTTTTGCTTGGTTGGAACAGCAGCTACGCTAATTATGTTTGTATTTGTTTCTCTGTCTTTTGCCACGGGATTGACATCCCGTGGTAACTAGGATTTACACAAGCTTCAGTCTGGATCCAGAACACCTGAGAAGAGATGATGCAACCCCTCAGAGGACCTCAGATGATGCCAACCCTGAAACAACATACAGAACTACCACATTTTGCTATAAGTTTGATTGCATCATATAATAATTGCTGTTAATATTATTCATCGTCTGTTTTATTACGTCTTATATTGATTTTTCTGTACTGCTGGTTCGTCTGGTCAGAGGAGAACTGGCCCCCCGACTGAGCCTGGTTTCTCCCAAGGTTTTTTCTCCATTCTGTCACTGATGGAGTTTTGGTTCCTTGCCGCTGTCGCCTCTGGCTTGCTTAGTTGGGGACACTTCATTTCCAGCGTTATCGTTGACATGATTGCAAAGATATTATTTAAACTGAGCTGGATGTTGACATCACTGTATTCAATGATGAACTGTCTTTAACTGAAAAATGAGTGTTTACTATTGTCATTTTGCATTATTGACACTATTTTCCTAATTAATGCTGTTCAGTTGCTTTGTCACAATCTGTATTGTTAAAAGCGCTATATAAATAAAGGTGACTTGACTTGACTTGACTTGACTTGTTATGAAACAGGACATCGTTTCATACATGTCCACTGTAGAGGACACCAGGACTAAAAGCATGTTTTTGGGAGACAAAATAATTGAATAGGAAAACTAATTATATATCAATATTCCTATGAAATATTAGATATTATTATGAAAATCTGGCCAATTACTACTCTAATTATTACACTTCTTTTTTCAACATGCTGTCCCAACAGCACTTTAATATGCAAATTAGATACAGTGTATAGATAACATTGTGCTTAATGGGAAAACCAGTTTATGGAATTTTTACACACATATTTCATAAAGAAAAATGGTATATCAAATAATTTTGTTATATATTTTATAACATAGTTGAGAACCATCCTTAAACAAAGTTAGGTATAAAAAAAATCCTGAAACCTAAAAATTGATTGGCGATTTTTAAAAAAGTCCCATTGTTTTTGCCTTTTCATGTCTATTCTTGTCATTTTATTTTTTTTTAGAAAAACTGAGTCCTGGTGTCCTCTACAGAGGACATAGCATAACATATAAATAAAATAGAATTTTTCAAAAATGTTATTTTACCATTTTTTCTTATGCTCTAAACAATGTAATGACATGAAAAAATACTAAATTCACAAAGCTTTTTATTTCTGGTTCTCAGGAGGATAATTGAATAGGAATATATATATATAAAATAGTAGTCAAACTACAGCGATCCTGATTGGCCCCTTGATGTTCTTTGTAGCCAATGAAACTGCACATCACTGCCACGTCAAAGACTGTCAAAGTATCAGCAGAGATTTGATTTCATGGGGCGAAAAAGGAGCAGCCAAAGTTTACACTGGAGTGAAATTTGTGTGGAAATGACAAGAAAGTGACCCAGCCAGCAGCTGTGGTATGAATAAACAGTTTCAAACGGGATAATTTCCGGACCGGTCTTCAATTTTGCTGTCTTCAGTAAGTAAGCTAATGAATGCTGGCTAATTAGCATATTACTCTTGCACGTATACCACCTGCTTTTTGGTAAGATATGCATGCTGTATTGATATTTTTGTGCAAAGGGTCTAAGCCTAAAACAGAATTCAACTGTTTCTAAGAGTTGACGTTGTTGTTTACACTTTAGGTAGCTATAACGCCCATAACACTAATGCATGTTATCCCTGCTTCAATGACAACATAAACACTGCTTCACATTTAACTGGAGTGCTTATTTTTCCATAGGATTACATAATAAAAGGGTTTGCAAAGGTGTGTTAAGCGCAGCTAAAATAGAAGAGTTCAGACTTTTTTTTGACACTTTTCTTGCTCTCTGTCATTCCAGAAAACAAAACAGTTCATGTTTTAAATACAACCAAATGCATTCTCCATAAACTGAGGGACTTTGACTTTTTAGAAATGGGAGAGGATGAGAATGACGATGGAGATCAGTGCAAGTATCCTGTAAGTATCTTGCATCTCACGGTCTCAAATGTCATTTTATGTTGCAGCTGGATTGTTATGCATTTGTGTCAATCATTATCAGTTCATGTACTTTGCTGATTGTTTGTCCACTCCCTATTTATTAAAAATGTACGGTATGGTGTTTGAAGAATGACCGAAGTTTGGAATGACATAAGGATGAATAAGTAATGACAATATTTTTAGTTTTGATGAAGGATGTTAGATTAGTTGTTGAGCTGATAGTAGGCCTGTCACAATAATCAATATATTGACTTATCATGCAATATATGTACATGACCTCAATCATTTTTGGTGACGCAATATATCGCCCATTATATTTACTTAAAAATTAATGTCACCATGTTTTGTACGTTCCACTTGCACCTGTGTCTTTTGCAGCTTCTCATACATAACGTGGTGGAGTTGGTGCTTGTTCCAACTTTTTTGCTTCTACAAAAAAAGTTTCATCTGCAGATATGGTCTTGTTTAGGGATCTGTGCTTTTGTGCATACAGACTTCTGAGTAGTGATTGTATTTTTCAGCAATAGTGTGCACCCTTCATTTACAGAGAAAAGAAGGTCAGGGAAAAATCTCCATACAAGTTCTTTATGCATTTTTCTACTTGTTACTTTGCACTTTTTGTTAGGAAATGTTTATTTACTATTTAGTCAAGTTTTTTTAAGGTATCTAATATGTTGATACTTAATTTCCATGATCTAAATATTCTTAAAAATTAAAGTTTGTTGTCGTTTGGAAGTGTGTTGGCCTTCTTGCATTATTATGCTGTTACTTTATGATTATATATTCGGTGGCATAAAATGGTCTTTAAAATGACAATAATATCGCTTATCGCAATTATTTCTGGGGCAATATATCGCACAACAAAAAGTTGTTATCGTGACAGGCCTAGCTGATAGATCTCTTTATTTTTGCAAGGGGAAGTGCTTTTGTGTTTTTGCACATGACAGGAAGCAGCTGAGAAAGCACCGTCCTCTTTGAGTCTCATTTGAGCTCAACTTTTAAGTCTAAATTAAAAAAATAAATATGATTTCAAAGAAACCCCACATGAGCTGTTTAAAAAAAATTTTTTTTACTTGTATTGTTCTGTGGAACAAATGTAAATAAATTATACAATACAAATATAAAAGGGTGTTTTATCCAGAGGGCTTTTTATTTTCAAACCAAAACAGAAACATAATTGTGAATGTATCTTACTGTTTGTGTATTGTTTGTTTCCTCAGGCTATTATTGGGAGTGAAATTCGTTCCCGCCTTCAGCAGTTTGTGGAGGAGAGGATGCAGACCACCATGGTACACTGATGTGTTCTCTGAATTAAGACACGTTCACACCAAGAACGATAACTATAACAGTGACTATATCAGCGTCCACACCAATGCATGATAATGTTCTGTTTATTATAAGCAAATGCTGCAGTTCTGTTGTCTGCTGCTTTAAATGCTCAAGTGCTTTAAAGTCAGGTGGATTCTGATTTGCTGTCAATGGTTTTATCTTTAATCTGATGGAAAAAAGTTCCTCTGTGTTGTTATCGTTATAGTTGAGATGTGGAGCTGTCCTTTTAAATTTAGAACAATTTTTAAAACCATATTGTTATCGTTCTTGGTGTGAACGGGCCTTTACTCTGGAAAGCTATCTTTTCCCACATTAGTTTCCAGTGAAAAGGGAACTGCATCTGACTGACTCAGATCAGCTGTAACAAGTTACAGAAGTTTAATCATGTTTCGGTTGACCGATACACCCATTTGAATGAGATGATTATTTCTTGCAGCATTTTTGCCAATATTATTTGCTCTGTTACTGAAAATGTGTTTTGATGAAAGTAAAATCAAAAGTCCAGTAGTAGAGGATGATGTTTATCATTTTTCCTGTAATGTCAGATAAATTCCCTGATCTTACATCTTTGTGACTGTTGTCTGTTCCAGCTGACGGGCGTATTGATCGGTGCCGTGGTGGCTGTGTGTCTGATAGGAATCTCTGTGCTTTTCTTCTACCGCAGATATAAACTGGCGAGTATGTTTCACTGCTGTGCCCAAAACAGATGCTTTAAGTCCAAAGAACTCTATACTGGCTTGAGCATCATGTTGTTTTTACATCGTTGCTCAGTTCTGATACTTGAATAAGAGCCTTGTGGTCATACCATTAAAAATGTTGGGATCAGTAAATGTTTTTCAAATGTTTTTGAAAGATGCTCACCAAGTAAAAACAGTAATATTTTGAATTTTCATCAGCCAGTCTTCAGTGTCTAATGTCAGATAAATTCCCTGATCTTACATCTTTGTGACTGTTGTCTGTTCCAGCTGACGGGTGTATTGATCGGTGCCGTGGTGGCTGTGTGTCTGATAGGAATCTCTGTGCTTTTCTTCTACCGCAGATATAAACTGGCGAGTATGTTTCACTGCTGTGCCCAAAACAGATGCTTTAAGTCCAAAGAACTCTATACTGGCTTGAGCATCATGTTGTTTTTACATTGTTGCTCAGTTCTGATACTTGAATAAGAGCCTTGTGGTCATACCATTAAAAATGTTGGGATCAGTAAATGTTTTTCAAATGTTTTTGAAAGATGCTCACCAAGTAAAAACAGTAATATTTTGAATTTTCATCAGCCAGTCTTCAGTGTCACTTGAACTTGACTTCATTCTAATGTGCTGATTTGATGCTCAAGAAACGTGTATTTCTATATCATATTATTATCAATTTTGAAAATAGTTGTGCTAATTGTTTTGTTTGTGGAAATATAAATATTTGTAACGTTTTTAAATGTCTTTACTGTCACTATTGATTGATTTAATGCATCCTTGCTAAAGAAAATTGTTAATATCTTTACAAAAATCTCACTGACAGTGACCACCAAACTTTTGAATGGTAGTGTATGTCTAGAGTACTGCTATTCATTATACGTTTGCTTGTGTGTGTTTTAAGATCAACAGGCTGGTGTTCCTCGCTATCGCTTCAGAAAAAGAGATAAAGTGCTCTTTTACGGCAGGAAAATCATGAGAAAGGTGGGTCACGCTGAAATCCATTTGCTTACCTGTGATTTGCACGCTGTTTTATTTGGTGATCAATAGTCAGATTCACAGCAGTCTATTTGTGCTGAAAGATAAATAGATGAGTGTTCAGACTGACTCTGCAGAGACTTGCTTCACAAAAACGCATTTATAAGTGTAATTAACTGACATCAGCTGAAACTTTAGTCTTCCTCCACTGGAGGGCAGCATAGAGTGTGCCAAGTGGCATATGCATGACTAACAGCCTGCTATTTTTATTTACTCTCCATCCTTCACTTTTTTCTATTTTTCTTTTTCTGTCTTTCAGGTCCAGACCTTGTCCTCGACACCATCCTCCTCTTCGGTGTCTAAGCAGCGCTCTCGGAAGAGGCCCAAAGTTCTTAGTATAGCACGCAGGTTTGTTTAGCTTCTCACATACCTAATTTTTACAGCGCATATGCATCTCGTTTTATCGCCCACACAATTTAAGTCAGGAGCTGTCTGATCAGTGCTTCTTATTTGACTCCTGCTATGATGTCATGCAGGATCTTGCGGATCAGGAAGGAGCCGCCCACTTTGCAGCCCAAAGAGCCCCCTCCCTCTCTCCTGGAGGCAGATCTCACTGAATTTGACGTGCAGAACTCAAACCTGCCCTCAGAGGTGCTCTACATGCTCAAGAACGTCAGGTGAACAACTCTGACCCTGTGGGGGTCACATGATTGCAGCTGAACTGCATGCATATCGCATGGTACTTTTTCAGCCTAATGAAATGTCTGGTGTTCAACTAAAGATGAATGTTGATCTGTTTCAGGGTACTTGGTCATTTTGAGAAGCCTTTGTTTTTGGAGCTGTGTCGGCACATGGTGTTTGTGGAGCTGCAGGAGGGAGAGGAGCTGTTCAAGCCAGGGGATGATGACGACAGCATTTATGTGGTTCAGGATGGAAGGCTGGAGCTTTGCATTCATGAGATTGTAAGGATGAGCTTTAGAAGTACCTTTTGAAGTACTCCATCATTACAGCACTGGTTTAGAGCATGTCAGTTGACTCGCTCATCAACCTCATGCACATGACTATTAGCCCACTATGCTTTATTACAGGTTAACTTATTATTTAATCTCGAGTTAAGGCTACATTTAACCCTAGGTTAAGAAAGGTTTTATATATATAATATATGTATGCAAATATGTACATATGTATACACTGCCTTTCAAAAGTTTGGGATCAGTAAGATTTGTAGTCTCTTCTGCTCATCATGGCTGCATTTATTTGATCAGAAAAACAGTAATATTGAAAATATTATTGCAATTTAAAATAATGGTTTTCTATTTTAATATACTTTAAAAGATAATTTATTCCTGTGATGCAAAGCTGAATTTTCATCAGCCATTACTCCTGTCTTCAATGTCACATGATCCTTCAGAAATCATTCTAATATGCTGATTTAATATAAATATTGGAAACAGTTTTGCTACTTAATATTTTTTGGAACCTGTGATACTTTTGTCATGATTCTTTGATGAATAAAAAGTTAAAAAGAATGGCAAAATATAAATCTTTTATAACAATAAACACTACCATTCAGAAGTTTGGGGTCAGTAAATTTCAACAAAGGATTAATGGATTTCCGGCACTGAAAATCCCTTGCAGTAGCTCTGCTAATAAATGTATTTACAATGGGTATCCCTGTACAGCTGTCGCATCCGGTGTAGACACCGAGTCTGTGTGTGAGCAAAGAAAACAATCAGTATAAATATAATGATCAGTAGCCTATACTAAACATCGCACATCCTGCGATGTGACTATCACGGATGCGCACATCGCGATATCGATGCTGAAACTATATATCGTGCAGCCCTACTTCATTTGGACAACTTTAAAGGCGATTTTTTCAATATTTTTATTTTTTTGCACCCTCAGGTTCCAGATTTTCAAATAGTTGTATCTCGGCCAAATAATGTCCTATCCTAACAAACCATACATAAATGAAAAGATGTATAAATCTCAATTTCGAAAAAAATTGACCCTTATGACTGGTTTTGTGGTCCTGGGACACATTTATGAACAATCACCATCATTTCCTTGATTAACCTCTGGTTACTTCACTGGGCCTGTCCCTGCAATAAATTCCCTGTAGGTCACTTTGAATAAGATGTGTCAGCTAAATGGCAAATGAGTAATTAAACTTGGTGCCCTCCACTAAAGTTATTATATTATCTTTCTGTATGTGTGTCTTTTAGGATGGCACAGAGCCTGTGGTGAAGGACGTTCTGCCCGGGGACAGCGTTCACAGTCTGCTCAGCATTCTAGACATCATTACAGTAAGTTCTCTGTCTGTCTTCCTGATGACTTATCCAGCTCCAGTGCACTGAGATTAATTTTGGATCTTCCCTTTCTGTCCAGGGTTATCCTGCTCCCTATAAGACTGTGTTTGCTCGTGCGGCGGTCAGGTCTACCATATTGCGTCTGCCTGCCTCAGCGTTCCAGTCAGTGTTTGAGAAATACCCAGAGACTCTAGTGAGAGTCATACAGGTACAGAGGGGCTTGGAACTCTAACATGGCTGTCTGCATCAATGTGACCTCTATCTTACTGAACATCTGTCTCAACCACAGTGTAATAATGGGCCGTATTATACACCTTTTGTTTTTTTAAATCATGTTTTTTCCCCCTACAAAGTCCACTTTAATTGTTCACCAAGGTTTTTATTTTATTTATTTATAAATTTTTTGCTGATGTACCTTTAGATCTCTACATGAAAGCACAATACACACCGTAGTTCTTCAGGGCAGCCAAGTAACTGAATACTACGGGTTCCCAAAAAAAAAAAAAAAATTGGAAAAATTAAGCCAATAATTAATTTCATATTATGACTAGTAACCGTTATGTGGCCTATATTAAAATTAGTACTAGTAATAGTACTACATATAAATTGGTGTTATTATTATTATTATTATTATTATTAACATTAGTGATAGTAATACTACAATTAAAATTCAATACAATTAAATGAATTAAAACTAAATAAAACATTAAAAGCTAAGATGGTTGTCATAAAGTTATTTTAAATGTTACATGTGAATTTAGGTATCACAACATTTATATAATATACAATAGTAAAATTTCATTTTAATATTATTGAAAGATTACATTTAACAGTGTTATTAAATTGGTTGTGCTTTTATCTCAAAATGTTAAAGTGGAGGAAATTAACACAAATGAATATCCAATATTGCCTGATACAGATAAATAAAGAATAATATTAATATAATATGTAATGTTGATAGTTACTTATACAGTTAAAGTGACAATTTTTGTATGTTTTACATTCTTCATCAATGGTCTGGCTGTGCAGGGAAAGATAGTGATGTGAAAAGTTAGACTATGTCTAAATTGCATATCAAACATCTTTAGTTAAAAGAGCAAAGAAAATCCTGTTTTTCCCATGATACGGTTCATTTTACTGCATAGACACTGGCATATTATTTGTGAGACCGCAAACTGTTATTAACAGAAATAACTAAAGTAATTTACAATAATGAATTAATTTGTGGCTTGTTTCTGTCTGTTTAGATAATCATGGTGCGTTTGCAGAGAGTCACTTTCCTGGCACTTCACAACTACCTGGGACTGACAACCGAGCTTTTCAATCAGGTTGGAGAAAGAGTACAGAGTACATACGTACATCTCAGCATTATTACTTTTAGGAACACACACACACGCACTCTATCACTTCTAAAATATGTGCTTTTTTCACACACACTCTCAGTGTTATTACATGCTACGTTAACCCCCATCGGCATAATCACTTCTGCGCTGGAGCCGTAAAACACAGCTAGATTGAATAACATGGATCATAAGACCTCGGCTTTCATTTAAAGGACACTGACTTTAACACCCTCTGGGTGGAAATCTCCCATCAGCCATCACTGCATGTCACAGCACAACCCTACACACACGTAACTCTCTTCTCTTCTCATTGCATGGACAGGCCAAGGGAGTTGTTTTCCGTTTTGATTTAAGAAGTACTTTTGGCTTGCACTGTGAATTTGAGTGCTCTCCCATCGGCTATAAATACAATTTAGTCCCAACAGCAGGCAAGGTTACGTGACAACACAGCATAAACTCAGTGCAGTTCTTACGTTTATCATTTTGTGATGTTCTGCTTTTTTTCATTTTGTGATGTTTATGCTGTTCTGATGAGTTGAAGCGCAAAAATGAATAAGGTTCAATAGTAAATAAAAAAATGTTATGTTCTTGCTTTTCATATGGTTTTGAAAACCCTTTATAAGTATATTCAGCAAAAGTTATGACTTCAATTTCAGTCAGGCTGTTGTATGGCTTTAGAAGATTTAAAATATAGTGCCTATAGTTGTAAAAATATAGTTGTTCAAAACAATTTAATTACACTTTTATGGTACTTTTTAGTCATTTTGGATTAGTAAATAACAGAATTTCTAAAAATAAATAAGAAAAAAAAGATTGAATCAATTAATTAACCTTGACACAAAAAAATAAGCATAGCTTCAATGACCCACAAATCATTGTTATGAGTAATTAGGAGTCTTATGTTTTTTAACTAGTTAAAAGTTGTTTATTGAATTGATCTTTCTATGGAGAAAGACACCACACAGTCATTGGCTGTTACTTTAGACCAGAAAAATTGTTTTATGTGTGTCAGATGCTTGTAAGTGTTTATCTGAAGATGGGTGTGTGTGTGTGTGTGTGTGTGTGTGTCCAGGGTTATCCTGCTCCCTATAAGACTGTGTTTGCTCGTGCGGCGGTCAGGTCTACCATATTGCGTCTGCCTGCCTCAGCGTTCCAGTCAGTGTTTGAGAAATACCCAGAGACTCTAGTGAGAGTCATACAGGTACAGCGGGGCTTGGAACTCTAACATGGCTTTCTGCATCAATGTGACCTCTATCTTACTGAACATCTGTCTCAACCACAGTGTAATAATGGGCCGTATTATACACCTTTTGTTTTTTTAAATCATGTTTTTTCCCCCTACAAAGTCCACTTTAATTGTTCACCAAGGTTTTTATTTTATTTATTTATAAATTTTTTGCTGATGTACCTTTAGATCTCTACATGAAAGCACAATACACACCGTAGTTCTTCAGGGCAGCCAAGTAACTGAATACTACGGGTTCCCAAAAAAAAAAAAATTATGGAAAAATTAAGCCAATAATTAATTTCATATTATGACTAGTAACCGTTATGTGGCCTATATTAAAATTAGTACTAGTAATAGTACTACATATAAATTGGTGTTATTATTATTATTATTATTATTATTAACATTAGTGATAGTAATACTACAATTAAAATTCAATACAATTAAATGAATTAAAACTAAATAAAACATTAAAAGCTAAGATGGTTGTCATAAAGTTATTTTAAATGTTACATGTGAATTTAGGTATCACAACATTTATATAATATACAATAGTAAAATTTCATTTTAATATTATTGAAAGATTACATTTAACAGTGTTATTAAATTGGTTGTGCTTTTATCTCAAAATGTTAAAGTGGAGGAAATTAACACAAATGAATATCCAATATTGCCTGATACAGATAAATAAAGAATAATATTAATATAATATGTAATGTTGATAGTTACTTATACAGTTAAAGTGACAATTTTTGTATGTTTTACATTCTTCATCAATGGTCTGGCTGTGCAGGGAAAGATAGTGATGTGAAAAGTTAGACTATGTCTAAATTGCATATCAAACATCTTTAGTTAAAAGAGCAAAGAAAATCCTGTTTTTCCCATGATACGGTTCATTTTACTGCATAGACACTGGCATATTATTTGTGAGACCGCAAACTGTTATTAACAGAAATAACTAAAGTAATTTACAATAATGAATTAATTTGTGGCTTGTTTCTGTCTGTTTAGATAATCATGGTGCGTTTGCAGAGAGTCACTTTCCTGGCACTTCACAACTACCTGGGACTGACAACCGAGCTTTTCAATCAGGTTGGAGAAAGAGTACAGAGTACATACGTACATCTCAGCATTATTACTTTTAGGGTCTCACACACACACACACACACACACACACACACACACACACACACACACACACACACACACACACACACACACACACTCTCTCTATCACTTCTAAAATATGTGCTTTTCTCACACACACTCTCAGTGTTATTACATGCTACGTTAACCCCCATCGGCATAATCACTCCTGCGCTGGAGCCGTAAAACTCCGCTAGATTGAATAACATGGATCATAAGACCTCGGCTTTCATTTAAAGGACACTGACTTTAACACCCTCTGGGTGGAAATCTCCCATCAGCCATCACTGCATGTCACAGCACAACCCTACACACACGTAACTCTCTTCTCTTCTCATTGCATGGACAGGCCAAGGGAGTTGTTTTCCGTTTTGATTTAAGAAGTACTTTTGGCTTGCACTGTGAATTTGAGTGCTCTCCCATCGGCTATAAATACAATTTAGTCCCAACAGCAGGCAAGGTTACGTGACAACACAGCATAAACTCAGTGCAGTTCTTACGTTTATCATTTTGTGATGTTCTGCTTTTTTTCATTTTGTGATGTTTATGCTGTTCTGATGAGTTGAAGCGCAAAAATGAATAAGGTTCAATAGTAAATAAAAAAATGTTATGTTCTTGCTTTTCATATGGTTTTGAAAACCCTTTATAAGTATATTCAGCAAAAGTTATGACTTCAATTTCAGTCAGGCTGTTGTATGGCTTTAGAAGATTTAAAATATAGTGCCTATAGTTGTAAAAATATAGTTGTTCAAAACAATTTAATTACACTTTTATGGTACTTTTTAGTCATTTTGGATTAGTAAATAACAGAATTTCTAAAAATAAATAAGAAAAAAAAGATTGAATCAATTAATTAACCTTGACACAAAAAAATAAGCATAGCTTCAATGACCCACAAATCATTGTTATGAGTAATTAGGAGTCTTATGTTTTTTAACTAGTTAAAAGTTGTTTATTGAATTGATCTTTCTATGGAGAAAGACACCACACAGTCATTGGCTGTTACTTTAGACCAGAAAAATTGTTTTATGTGTGTCAGATGCTTGTAAGTGTTTATCTGAAGATGGGTGTGTGTGTGTGTGTGTGTGTGTGTGTGTGTGTGTGTGTAGGAGAGACAAGCAGTGCCGCTGTTCGCAGTCAACAGTGTGCTCACTGAGGGGAGTCCCAGCAGAGTCCCACGCAGATCCCACTTACAGACACAAACAGAAGACGAGCACCTGCAGAGCTCTGGAGAGAACTTGACAGACTCGGGTACACGTTTACTATATATATATAGTAATATAATATATATAATATATAATATATATTATATATAATATTAATTTATTCATTCTTTATTGTATTATTATATATATATATATATATATACTGTATATATATGTTTGAATATATATTCAAATTTAGATTAATTCACTAATAAATCCTTTATAAATCCTCCACAGATGTTTCTTGAGCACTAAATCAGCATATTGGAATAATAACTGAAAAAGTAGCTTTGTTATCACAGGAATATATTACATTTTAAAATAGTATTTTTTACGATAGTATTTCACAGTATTACTGTTTTTACTGTGTTTTTGATCAAGTAAATACAGTCTTGGTAAGCATAAGAGACAATCAAATACATTACTAAAATCTTACAATCCAGGATGGGAACCCTTTAATTATTACAGACTAAGCCTTACCCTAAGTTAAAAAAAAACTTTCTGCATTTGCAATATTGCCTTTGTAATATGAATATTTTTGCTTCTAGTGTTTTTGTCAGATTTTGCTTTCACCTAAGGACAGTTTTCCTGAAGTCAAGGTTTTTTTCACAAAAATACAGATTTACAGAAATATTGTACATGGCTGTTTTGAAAGTGATATAAATGTTTCATCACTTAGATGGAGGGCAAGCTGGTTCATATGAAAACACATCCACAGCCACGCAGAGGTCTCGCTCGGTCTCGATGCCTGTAGAGACCTCAGGTAGCAGATAACCTATCATCTGTCTATCCACTCTTATTCACTCCACACCTATTTGCTTTTACAGAGAAATGGCACCTCTAGTAGTAAACTAGATCTGGTTTCTATGTGTTTGTGTGCAGGAGTGGCAGGAAATGACCTGAACATGGCTTATGAACGGGCCCGAGTCACCATAGATGATACTCCATCCAGTTCTGTCATTCACAAGGTTTTTTCCCTCCTCCATCTGATCTCCCTCTCATCCTGAATATCTCTAGATATTAAAAAATAGATCTTGATGTTTTATGCTCTTCAGTCCATTTTGAAGAAGAGTGTGACCATGCAGCATGCTCCGTCCACTGTGATTCACTACATAAGCAATGCACCACACTCTGACGTTCCCCCTTGTAAAGTGGGTGCCATTTACCAGGCCGCCAAGAAGGATCTGCTGGGGATTATTCCGCTGCAGGTCAAAATACAGCTCCATTAGTGGGATATGAGTTCATGGTTTATTTATGTTTAGATTGATTTATGTGTTTGTGTTGAATATTTTTATTGGTGCTGTGTGTGTCCAGGACCCCAGTTTGCTGGAGGGCAGAGTAACACTCCATCAAGTTAAAGCTGGATCTGTTGTAGCTCACCAAGGAGATCAGGTCAGACGTCACACAGAAAATGCATATGAAATGGCTAAAAAAACCAGTGAGTAGAATGGCTGTTTGTGTTCACAGACAACTTGCTAACCAAAATAGTGACTGATTTGAGATGCTTTTCATTAACATAGAATTACATAAGGATGGATACAAAATTAGGTGTCTTAGAAGGGGGCGTAATATTGATGCCAAATTTTACATCAGCTTTTGCTTCAAGAGAAGACCAGTGATGTCCAAAATGCTGTCTAAACAGGCAGCTCACTAGATTTTGAAACCTGGCCAGTGTGAATCGTTATGCAACGTCATTTCAATGGATTTCTAATGTGTTACTCTGTCAAAATGATTTTCTTGACTGTGTGTGTCCCTCAGGATGTAAGTGTGCAGTTTGTGATCTCGGGCACACTGCATGTGTACCAGCGAATGATTGACCGAGAGGTGGACACGTGTCTGTTTGTGGCTCACCCAGGAGAGCTGGTGGGTCAGCTGGCCGTATTGACGGGTGAGCCACTTATCTTCTCCGTACGGGCGCATCGGGACTGCAGCTTCCTGTCCATCTCGAAAACACACTTCTATGAGTAGGTTTTCAGTCCACACTTCTAATGTTAGTCCAGGTTTTTTTTTGCAGTCTCTTTAATTTGGCATGCACTAAAATTCAGTAGTTTGGGGTCAAGAGTTTTTCAAGTAAATGCTGCTCTTTTGACCTTTCTATTCAAAAAAGAATCCTGAAAAAAAAACATATCACTGTTTCCACAAAAATATCAAGCTGCACAACCATTTTCAACTGTGATAATAAGAAGAAATGTTTTCTGAGCCCAAATTAGCATTTTAAAAGACTTTCTGAAGGATCACGTGACACTGAAGACACTGGAGCTGAAAATTCAGCTCTGCCATCACAATAGTACACTGCTAAATATATTAAAATAGACAACACTTATTTAAAATTGTAATAATAATAAATGCACCCTTTGTCAGCTTAATAGCCTTCTTTGAAAAAAAATAATAAAATCTTACCGACCCCAAACTTTTAAATGGAAGGGTCTGTCTGACTGATATGTAAAATTATCCATTAATTGATATGGCTATAATAGACTGTTATGGAAAAAAAGTGTCATTTATGTGCAAGTGATTTTCTTTATAATTGGCTTATTTCTGTGCATGTGAAATGAATATCACCTGCACCAAGACATAGTAGAATAATACATAGTTATACGTACATTTTTAATCCAAATTTAACTTCATGTTGACATTGGCAGGCAAATAATGAACATAAGCTCACTCTGGTTGCTGGTTTTAATGGTTCTCCAGCTGACATGTTGAATCGCTTCTATAACACATTGCATATCACTGTTTCCACAAAAATATCAAGCTGCACAACCATTTTCAACTGTGATAATAAGAAGAAATGTTTTCTGAGCCCAAATTAGCATTTTAAAAGACTTTCTGAAGGATCACGTGACACTGAAGACACTGGAGCTGAAAATTCAGCTCTGCCATCACAATAGTACACTGCTAAATATATTAAAATAGACAACACTTATTTAAAATTGTAATAATAATAAATGCACCCTTTGTCAGCTTAATAGCCTTCTTTGAAAAAAAATTATAAAATCTTACCGACCCCAAACTTTTAAATGGAAGGGTCTGTCTGACTGATATGTAAAATTATCCATTAATTGATATGGCTATAATAGACTGTTATGGAAAAAAAGTGTCATTTATGTGCAAGTGATTTTCTTTATAATTGGCTTATTTCTGTGCATGTGAAATGAATATCACCTGCACCAAGACATAGTAGAATAATACATAGTTATACGTACATTTTTAATCCAAATTTAACTTCATGTTGACATTGGCAGGCAAATAATGAACATAAGCTCACTCTGGTTGCTGGTTTTAATGGTTCTCCAGCTGACATGTTGAATCGCTTCTATAACACATTGTGTGTTGTCAGGATCATGCGAGCTGAGCCCACGGTGGTGCTGAATGTGGCTCATACAGTTGTAAGAAGGATGTCATCTTTCGTCAGGCAGATTGATTTTGCCCTTGACTGGATGGCTGTGGAGGCGGGCAGAGCTGTCTACAGGTCCAATTCATTTTCTCACATATTTACTGGTTACATTTTTTTTTTCCTCCTTTCACCCTATTTACTTTCTCTCAACCTTCAACCTCTTTATTAGTATAAATAAGTAAAAATAGTGCACTGCTTGGTCAAATGTAACCTTTTAATTTGCAGGTTATTCATTTTTTACCATTTCACCTGCATCCAGTTGCAGAAAGTCTTACAATGAAGACCAACTCCCTTGGTTTTTGAAATTATACAGTACTGTCCAAATATTTTTTTTCCAAAGGAAATTAATACTTTTAACCAGCAAGGATGCATTAAATTGATCAAAAGACAAAATATTTCTATTTCAAATTACTGATGTCCTTTTGAACTTTCTATTCATCAAAAAAAAAAATCATGGTTTCCACCAAAAAAAAAAAAATCTTCATATTAGAATGGTTTATGAAGGATCATGTGACATTAAAGACTGGAGTAATGACTGCTAAAAATTCAGCTCTGCCCTCACAGGAATAAGTTACATTTTAAAACATATCAAAATATAAAAAAAGTTATTTAATAGAAAATTGTAATATTTTGCAATACAAGTGTTTTACTGTATTTTTAATCAAATTAATGGAGCCTTGCTGAATGTTAGGGACTTTAAAAAAAATAAAGAAAAACCTTACAGACAGTAGTGTACATTCAATAAGCACATATAAGTGTGTCATTTGCATGTCCTCATAGTTTTGGCCATGTAGTGTTTATATTAATAGTTAATGTCCTTCATAACAGAAAAGAACACATGTCACACCTCTGTTCATCAATTTGCACTGGCTAGTATATGTATATATATATACACCTTGCTATGTGTACTGCGTTAGGCTAACCGAGACTTGTCATTTGCACTTATATATTGTTGCTCTTTTGTTAGTTTTGACTGCTTTTATTGCCCTCATTTGTAAGTCGCTTTGGATAAAAGCGTCTGCTAAATGACTAAATGTAAATGTAATAACAGTTTTTTGGCTCTCCTGAGAGGAGCTTCCAGATAAACTCTATTGTTATTATCTTTTTTTCTTTTCTTTTCCTATGCCTCCTCAGTAAGAAATTTGGACAGAATACAATCTAATAAACTTGGCGATTTCTTTTTCTCTTCTGCCCCTCTTGCTGAGACAGATAAGCTTCCTCAGCATTTCATAAATCTTCTATGATAAACGACCTCATCCTTTCTCTCTCTTTTTCTCTCTCAGGCAGGGTGATAAGTCTGACAGTACTTTTATAGTGCTCAGCGGCCGCCTGCGTTCTGTCATCATGAAGGAGGATGGGAAAAAAGAGCTGACTGGAGAGTACGGCAGAGGAGATCTCATTGGAGTGGTGAGATTTTCCACATGCACAACATATATTGAAATACAGCGTCTTCTTGTCATAGCAAACGTATTCCTATCTCTCTCTTATTTAGCTCCTTTATTACCATAAAAGCATTTATATTTAAGCAATAAAGTCCTAAAGATCTGTATAGTCACCAATCAGCATCCCGCACCAAAATCAGTTTTATAGGTATCATGTGGTGTAATGGTTAAAAACTGTGCTAGCAACCAAATTATTGTACCTTGAGTTTTATAACTGTATATTTTGCTAAGATGACTCAAGGATGAATCAGATATTGTTCCATGTTATATAATGCTGCATATGTACTATATAGAAAGTCAGCCTTTTGTATGTATGTGCATCTCCTAGAATAGCTTTGGTGACATTTACTTGCATTGGTGTATTCAGTGAATTTGTGCCACCTAATCAGGTGTGCATTAGAGAAAACAAACTCCCAGTATCTCCCAGTAACTAGTAACTCGTCATTCATAACATTTTGTTGTGATTGGCTGATGCCATTTGCGTCTCCATGGTGACGCCTATGCTGCTAAGAATACCTGTCCATGTCGATGCCATGGTTACGTTGCTGGGAGAACAGTGGTGGTTCATTGTCCATGGATGTGAGTGATGTGAATGAAGGCCTGATTTGATGATCTAAATTTAGTCTCAGTCTACGTCATGGAGTTTTGTTGGTGCTGATGTTTGCTCTTGTATGTGAGCAAAAATATCTTGTCTAAATAACAGGAATATATGTCTAAATTAGGAGCTAAAATTATAATTCTCTCAATATTAACCGTGTACGACTTTCTTTTTCATGAATAACAAATTTCATTTACTTGCTGAAAGCAGTTGTATGACTTCAGAAGACTTGGAATAATGAATTCATACAGCGTTATTTTAGTATCATTTATATGCTATTATTTTTAAAGGGGTCATATGATGCTTTTTTTAAAGATAATTATTTTGTGTATTTGGTGTAACAGAATATGTTGACATGCTTTAATGTTCAAAAAACACATTATTTTTCAAATACTGTACATTATTGTAGGTCCTCTATGCCCCGCCTCTTTCAAACGCTTCGTTTTCTACAAAGTCCCTCCTTTCCGACAAGCCCAGTCTACTCTGATTGGCCAGCTGACCCAGTGCATTGTGATTGGCCGAACACCGCAAGCACTCGTCGGAAATGTAACGCCCCTTACCATAATCGCGAGCTTCATCTTTCAAAATAAATGTAAAGACATCCCGAAAGGGGAACAGAGTCGCGTGACAGACACAGTGATGAAGCTGGTATGTGTGCAGTGCACAAGCCACGGTTAAGGATTAATATTTTGATTTTGAACTAACTTAGATTTTTATAGTTTTGGTTTCCATTTTAGTTTACAGTTTAGTAATTTTGTGATATATATATATATATATATATATAACAAAAACAGTAGCTGATATATATATAGCTTATATAACCTATATAATTTTATATAGCTTTAAATTATTTTATTTCAGTTGTAGTACTTTTAGTGCTTCAACCAGAACTATTTATTTCGGTTAGTTGCCAAGGCAACAATTTAAATTTTTCTTTCAAGCTTTTCAAATAATATTTATATTTCATTTTAGTTTAGATTCATGACACTTACCAAAAACTATTTTTCTTAATCAATAACAACAGTGGAGTCATGTGAACCACCCCAATTCTGGGTCAAATGTCCCTTTAACGCAGTCTTTCTATTTTTAAGGTTCTTCACAACAAGTACTTGTTAAAAATTAAAATTTAAAAAATATTAAAAAGATTTTTTTCAAGCAAATAAAGTTTTATTTGTACCTAAGCAAGCTTCAAAGTCAATCAGTGAATTATGTTTACATGGATTTTTTGTGTGTGAATGCAGGTGGAGGCTCTGACCCATCAGAACAGAGCAACTACGGTTCACGCTGTTCGGGACTCAGAACTGGCTAAACTTCCTGAGGGCGCTCTCAGTTCCATCAAGAGAAAATTCCCACAGGTATATCAGCCACACTGCATTTGCTTTATAGCCAGAAACCTCAGTGATGAGAGTTTCTCTGGCCTCTCTGTGCCTGTATAATGTCAGTTTCGTTATCTCTATTTGATCTCATTAGGTGGTCACAAGGCTTATTCACCTTCTTGGACAGAAGATACTCCAGCAAGTTAATGGACCTTTGACAGGTTTGTGTGTGTGTGTGTGTGTGTGTGTGTGTATATAAAACTATCACTGTTTCATTTTCATTTCCTGCATCAAAGGCCAAGGTTTCTAGACTCACTAATGCATAACAACTGCATTGTATCTGTATTTTAACGTCCAGCTCGCAGTCTAGCTCTACACACACCTGGTAGTAAATGGGACGCGGGGAACCCTGCCTCAAACCTGTCCACTGTCACTGTGCTCCCGGTATCAGAGGAGGTTCCTCTGACTGCGTTCACCCTGGAACTTCAGCATATCACTGTTTCATTTTCATTTCCTGCATCAAAGGCCAAGGTTTCTAGACTCACTATTGCATAACAACTGCATTGTATCTGTATTTTAACGTCCAGCTCGCAGTCTAGCTCTACACACACCTGGTAGTAAATGGGACGCGGGGAACCCTGCCTCAAACCTGTCCACTGTCACTGTGCTCCCGGTATCAGAGGAGGTTCCTCTGACTGCGTTCACCCTGGAACTTCAGCATGCACTCTTAGCTATTGGTGAGGATGCTGTATTTATATAGGTTTTATATCAAAAAGATGAGAAGGTTTACAATTGGAGAGGAAGTTTGTCAAATTTATGTCTTCCAGGCCCCACTCTTCTCTTGACTAGTGACATCATCAAACAGCGCCTCGGCTCTGCTGCGTTAGACAGGTACAGCATCAGAGTGTCATTGGATAATAGCTTGAAATGTTTATATGGCATCAAATATTCGTTTATATAAATGTGTGGCCACTCCATCTATCAGAATATGTAGATTCACTGTTAATACATGCTGATTTGTAGGATGAGTGTGTTTCAGCTGCCTGAAAAACAACATCACACTCATCTTTTTTTATTTTTACACATTAAAGTAGTCGTTTGATGAGAGAGATGAAAGCAGTTTTGTGATATGTAAATGAACAACACAGATAACCCCATAAATAAACAATCCGCATGAGTCCTGTCCCTCTAACCCAGCATGAGATCTTCCTTTCTCCTTGTTGCTGATGTTTGTTTCTGTTGTGGTCTGAGTTTGGTGTTTTATGTTTGAATTTAATTTAGAAAACTTTTAAGTGCCGATACTGGCCTGGTTTCTCTCAAGAATATTGACAAGCTCTCATCCATCACATGTTTATTGGACAGTTTAACAGCAATGGATCCACAGAGACAAGGATCCGACACACATTCATCAGTAGCTAGAACAGGACCCCCGACTGTAATGCTCACAAATTTGCAAAAAAATTTAATCTGTGCAAAATTTAGTCCTCATTAGAAACTCAAACTTCGTAGCAATGTCTTTGTTAAATTTCACATGGTGTTAGATGAAGCAGTATTTGTTTTGTTTTTTTAGAGTGCATGGCATCATTATATACACTAACATTCCAAAAATTTGGGGGTGATAATTTTTTTGGGTTTTTTTTTTTGAAGGAAGTCCCTTAAGCTCACCAAAGCTGCATTTATTTAATAAAAAATAACAACATGCATATTATGAAATATTATTACAATAAAAATGTTTTAAAAATTATATTTTAAATAATTTAAAACCGTTTCTATTTTATTTTTTAAAATGTATTATTTTTGTCATAGCAAAGCTAAATTTCAGCAGTCATTGCTTCAGTCTTCAGTGTCACACGATCCTTCAGAAATCATTCTAATATGTTGATTTGGTGCTTAAGAAATGTTAATAATTAATAATTAACATTATTATTATCAATGTTAAAAATGTTTGTTCTACTTAATATTTTTGTGAAAACAGTTCAAAAGAACAGACACCGGGATAGTAACACACACACACACACACACAAACACACACACACACACATATATATATATGAAGTTGTTCTACTTAATATTTTTGTGAAAACAGTTCAAAAGAACAGACACCGGGATAGTAACACACACACACACACACACACACACACAAACACACACACACACACATATATATATATGAACTATACACATTTACATTTATTTTATAGATTTTTAAAAAATATATAGAAAATAATATTTCACTTTTGAGTGCATCTGCTTAAAATGTTTTGGAAAATCTTTATCCAGTAGTCACAAATGCTTAAAGGTCCTGGATGCGTCATGGCTATTCATTGGTTAAAAGGTGTGGGAAACCTACAGGTCTTCACATGTTCCATAAATGAACAACTAAAGTCATTTGAATCCTAAATATATCACATATGTCATTGTAGTCTTGTCTGTATAGTCATAGTCCGTAGTCTCACTATCCATTTTAATCTTGGATGAATTCTAATTTTGGACCATCCTAACCTGACTCTTCGACTTTGGCATGTTTATAAACGGCATAAGTTCAACAATTTGGTTATCTACATTTTAAAAAAATAACTTACTATATAGGGAACAAATCAGTTTATTTGCTGATACCATGAGAAGTAGCTGAAAATAATCTCTCTCTCTCTATGCCAGTGTGCATGAGTACAGGTTATCGAGTTGGCTGGGCCAGCAGGAAGACATCCATCGCATAGTCCTATATCAGACAGATGTGTCACTCACTCCATGGACTCAGCGCTGCATCAGACAGGCCGATTGCATCATCATCGTGGGACTGGGAGAGCAGGACCCAGCCGTGGGAGAGGTATGATGGTGTTACATCATCACAGAGTGAAAAACGCTGACATGAACTGGTGCTAAATATCACATACCAAGATTCAGAGCTGTGGCTACTTCCTCTAGAAATAGAAGAGTCTTTAATATAAAACCTCTTCCAACTCAAATGAAATGGGTTTCAAGGCCTTTAATTTATCATTCGCTCAGAATGGCAGGTACTTTTATAGGTTGAGCCCAAAAAACATTAAGTCATTTGAACCATAACGCACTGGGCTAAAAATGGCCCCTACTCTTCTGTACTATAAGTCACAGCTGAATTGCTCTGATCACAGGCAGTAATAAACCATGTTGGTGGGACTCCAGTTGAACTGCTGGACTTACTCAGTTCTTTTCCTAGAGAGCAAGAGATGAATCATTTACGTGCACGAGGGAGAAAAGTTTTAGATATCCAGGGGTTTCGACAGTCCAGCCTGTGCATTTGAAGTTGGATCAGAGGTCTGGTGTAGAGCAAACATCCCTGCTGATCGTGTATGTCCTGCAGGCTTTAAAGGGTACGACTGCTATAGTGCTGCTCTTTGAATCAGGAACTCAAAGCTCAGATGTTTTAAACAAGTCTGAAATGGATAATTGTATTCCCATGAAAAGAGCTGAGAGAGGATGTGGATGTTAAATGCGCACCTTTCCAGTCAATAATTATTCTTTAGAACAAAATGACCTGAAAGAAATTAATATATTTCTATTATATTTATGGATTAATTCTATATTCAGTGCGTTCCATTAAAAAAAAAAAATTATTATAATGCATTTGGACAGAGTGTTGTCTAGTTTTGAAAGGATGCTATTCAGTCCTCTCTATGTCTGTCTGTCTCTTTGTCTCTCAGTTGGAACGTATGTTAGAGGGGAGTGCGGTGAGAGCGCAGAAACAGCTGGTGTTGTTGCACCGCGAGGACGGCCCTCCTCCCAAAGGAACAGCCGAATGGCTCAACATGCGGAGCTGGATCTCCAGGCACCTTCACCTGTCCTGCCCCCGCAGGGTCTTCTCCAAGAGGAGCCTGCCAAAATTGGTGCTGCTCTCAATATTACATCATGGTTTCACTGAAATAACAGTAAATAAACAATCATTTTGAAAGCCATGCAATGGTGTAGCGCAGGGGTTTTCAGACTTTTTGATAGCACAAACCCCACAATATGCTGCTAGAGACTATTTATTTATTTATTTGTATTTTATTTTTTTATTTTACCCCTTAGCACTCCCTTGAGTGAAGAAAAAATGCCTGCTACATTTTAAATTATACATTTGTTAACATTCTATGTATTTAAGACGCTCTTGATATTCCTGTCAAGTTTCCCAGGCTGCTGCTGGTTTGTCCTTGAGCTCCATTGACTTATGTCATGGCAAATCTTAGTCTTGTTCAGCATATAACAAGAAAAGAAACCACAAAGTAGAACCAATTACAGACAAATCTTTAAGAAAGACCTTGAAGAAATAAAGCTGCCTTCTTTTTGATCTGTTTCATAGCTGAGATAGGAATAAAGACAATAAAAATTTGTATGATTGGCAACACAACAATGTTGCCAATAAAATGATGTGGTTCTAGGTGAAGTTCTTAATAAAAGTTTTTTTTTCGCCAATAGTGGCTATCACAATGAGTTGTGTTGGCAGCTCTATTAATGGTCTGAGCATGTCTAACTCGTGCCTTTTTGATCTGCTTCATAGCTGAGATAGGAATAAAGACAATACAAATTTGTATGATTGGCAACACAACAATGTTGCCAATAAAATGATGTGGTTCTAGGTGAAGTTCTTAATAAAAGTTTTTTTTTTCGCCAATAGTGGCTATCACAATGAGTTGTGTTGGCAGCTCTATTAATGGTCTGAGCATGTCTAACTCGAGACCAAGGTCATGTGAGATTGATTTCCTATGACGGGTAGGTCACAATATATTTGGTGAGTGGCGATTGGGGAGCATTTCCAATGCCAGGATCCGCCACTGATGATAATTTTTTTATGATGAAATGGAATTCTGTAGTAATTGCCATTTTTATTACATATATCCTGTAGCTGGTTAGTTTAAGACAGTTTTACAATCATCTACTTTTTTTCTGTAAGATTAAGTCATAATTTTTATTGGTTTCAAACTTTTCATAACTTGTCATTCTTCAGTCAGTTTCTTAAATACGTAGATTGGTCTAATTTGAATCTGAAGAGTACAATTGCCCATTGAATAACTGCTAGTTGGTCAGACTAGTTCTTAAGACACAGTCTTAACATAGTGACTAAGCTTGTATAACCAGCCCCTAATTTTTGGCATAGTGCTGGTCTAAGTTCCTGTGTCATTTGTGTTTTCAGAGAGAAATGTACCAGCGTTTGTTCCAGAAACCCGCTGACCGCCACTCTGATTTCTCACGTCTGGCCCGTGTTCTTACGGGCAACGCCATTGCGCTGGTGCTGGGGGGCGGAGGAGCCAGGTATTCACTTGTTAAACCTTTTAAAAACCATAAATAAAACTATGAAAGTGAAGAAAAACACCTCCACTATTTGAATGCATTTCCACACTCCCACTCTTGTTGACACTACACTGGCATTTTCCTTTAAAAGCCCTTCACCACCCCCTCTCAGTCTTTGTTTAACCTCTTGCCTCTGTTGCTCTCTTTCTGTCAATTAAATTTTTTCTGACAGCTTCTGTTTGTCTATTCTGTTTTTTCCGTGCTTGGCAGGAGGTGTCTAAAGGTTGGTTGCTATTTTTTCCCTTCATTCCTTTGTGTAGTAACCTGTGATTGATTTTGTGTACAGTGTTAACTCTTCCCAGTCTCCTTTAGAGTAGAAAACCCCTATAGTGCTGTTCAAAAAGAGAACAACACAATGCTTGTTTCGAGTTGTTGATTTTAATCAAGCCATATTTACTTACTCCCCTTCGTCCCAAGTGGGACATCAACGATTTGTTTCCACTTGGATCGATCTAAAGGAGACCCATCTTCTTTAGTTCTGCCATCACTGTGCATCTCCATGTTGTTTTTGTTCACTCTTGTTTTCTTCTGCCAGGTGGTGTCCATCTCAGGGCAGTCTTTTATTATTTGAGCTGATTTTGATGTTTCGAACATGGTGAGGACATTCCATGCTCCAAAACGGATACTGGTTTTGGGCCCAAGCAGACTGTCTTTCATACTCCTGACTTTCCTTTTGAGAAGTAGTCATGTTGCCATTTTGTTGGCTCAAGTCCACTTTGGGGCTGGTTGTTTGGACAATGTAGCAGCACAGAGGGTGCCATATTTGGGCATCATAATTGTTTTGGTCCAATAGAACTGAACCAAAGTCAAAGGTTATGTATTGACTGGCCTTGTATCACTGGGTTTATTTCTCCCCTCTTCACATCTTCCCTCTTTCAGGGGCTGTTCTCAGGTGGGCGTCATTCGAGCATTGAGTGAGGCGGGAATCCCCATTGATCTGGTGGGCGGCACCTCTATCGGTTCCATGATGGGTGCGCTGTACGCAGAGGACCGCAGATACAGCAGGATGAAGATCAGGGCCAGAGAATGGGCGATGGTGAGAGACCACTGTAATGTAAAAAACTCGAAAACCTGAGACAAACCTTGTGCTACTTGAAAATGCATCTCAGTGCTCACCAAAAAAATATGAATCAAGCACACTTTTTCTTTTAATTTTTCCTATTCTCTTTTCTTTACATTTATTTTTCATTGTATTGTTTCCTGTTCCTTTTTCCTTAATTTTTCCCTCCTTTTCTTTTCTTCATTCATATTATTTTTTCATTTTCCTTTTCCTTTACTTTTCTTTCCTTTTTCCTATTCTTTATCCTTTCTTTTTTCCAGTCTTTTTTTGCTCTGTTTTGTTTTACTACACTTTTTTTCATTCACTCACCCATTTACTTTTCCTTGTCCTTTTAATTTTCTTTATTTCTATTTCCAATTATTTCCTTTCCTTTTTCTGTTTCTTTTTCTATTTTTTTTTATTTTCCTTTAATTTTTATTTCATTTTCTTATTCATTTTTATTTCCTTTCCTGTTTCCTATTCTTTTTTCGTCCTATTTTACTATTCTTTTATTGTCCTTTTCATTTTCCTTTTCATTTTTCTATTCATTTTCATTCGTTTTTTACTTAATCCAATTTGTTGCTTTATTTTTCTCCAATTTTAAATTGGACACAAAAAAGCTAACTTTGTTCTCCTTTCTTCCTCTGCAGGAAATGACATCAGTGTTTAAGAAAATGCTGGACTTGACCTACCCTGTCACTTCTATGTTTTCTGGTGCTTCGTTTAACTCTAGCATTAATGCTGTCTTCAAGGACAAACAGATAGAGGTAGGAAACTAGCTCATTTTGGCTCAAAGAATCCTACACTGGATCACAATCTGCCATATTCAGCAGCTTAAATGTTTTCAGGATCTCTGGATCCCATATTTCAACATCACCACAGATATCACTGCCTCCACGATGAGAGTGCACACTGACGGTCCGTACTGTTACATACTCCACCTGCATTTATGAGCCTCTGCTTAACCAGGATAAATGTCTGATGTTTCTTGTCCCTCCATCACAGGCTCCCTGTGGAGGTATGTGCGTTCCAGCATGTCTCTTTCTGGTTACCTGCCACCATTGTGTGATCCAAAAGATGGACATCTGCTCATGGACGGAGGCTACATCAACAACTTGCCAGGTGTGTACATTACACAGGACACAGGACATTAGCTCCCCGCAGTAAAAGCTCTTTAGCTCCTGACAGTCAAATCCCAATATACCATGACAAACACACTATTTCATAGATGCAAACCTGCTAAAATAGTTTAGCTATTGGCATAAAGTCTGGGCCAAGATTATTTAGCTTATTCTGGCCAAGGACCGCCCACTTAGACAGGAAAGATCTGTCTGGGGGAGGGTTCTAAAATAGTCGAAATCCCAATAATAATACTTTCATGACACTTTGAGCCATTTTTGTGTGCAATTTGCATCTGACATTCAGTGAATAGACTGTGGGCTGACTTGAGTGTGCTGTCTATTGCTCAGATCACTACTATCAGAGTTTATCAGATCTGAAGAATTGGGTCATTTTGTAATAATGGTGGTTCATTGTTGCTGAGGTTGTTGTCTTCTCTTCCTGTTTCAGCGGATGTGGCACGCTCCATGGGTGCCAAAGTGGTTATTGCCATCGATGTGGGCAGCCAAGATGAAACCAACCTCACCAACTACGGGGACGCCCTTTCTGGCTGGTGGCTGCTATGGAAACGGCTCAACCCACTGGCTGAGAAAGTAAAAGTGAGGGAGACATTAGCCAAGTGCAATGTTTACTTAATTAGTTGTGTTTTCTAAGGCAAGCGGCAACATTACTATTTCTCATACTTGTAAAGGTGCGGCCACATTTGGTGATGCATCATACATCACTACACTATTAACAATAGACCGTGGACCTTTTTTGCCTGCAAAATTTTGCTCATATGACCACACCTTAAGTGTCAACTTTTTGTGATTTATTAAACGTTGACACACAAATAAGACTTTCATCATCAAATGAATGATACTGCAACTTGTGCAAATGGAGAAGAGGTATGTTATCCCTTTAAGCTATTGGATTTATGCTTTTTACCCCACAGATGATAAAACAGCAAAAATATCTGATAGATTTGCATTAACCTGAGCCATATTTAGTATGTTATTAAATGGCAACCACACAGAACACATTCATGGCAACCACTTTTGCATGCATAAGCACTTGAATTTTCTTCAGGAGATGTTAAAATCTAGATTCCTTTTTCTTTTTTTTTTATAAAGTTGCTGTGTATTTAAGATTGTAAGTGTATGTGGCTGTTTCAGGTGTTGAACATGACTGAGATCCAGGCCCGGCTGGCTTATGTGTGCTCAGTGAGACAGCTTGAATCTGTTAAGAATAGCGACTACTGTGAATACCTCAGACCTCCCATCGACAGATACCGCACACTTGAGTTTGGCAAGTTTGATGAGATTAGCGTGAGTTTTGTCTCCTTGACATTTTTTTTCCTTCTGCGCTCTAAATATTAAGTCTTTGTTCTGTGCTTATATTGTTTTTGGTTGGCCTCATGTGTTTGTGTGCGCATATAGGAAGTGGGCTATCAGCATGGGAAGACGGTGTTTGATGTGTGGTGCAGGAGTGGAGTGGTGGAAAAGATGATGAAGGACAGACATCAGGAGGAATTCCACAAAACACAGAGCAACAGTGTGAGCCTGGATCACCTGAAAGAGAGGCTATTAAGTTGTAATGTGTGTCGACACAGTTCTTCACTTCAATTTATTGTTGTTTCTGCAGTTGGTAACCTGTCCAAATGCTTCCTTCACTGATCTGGCTGAGATTGTCTCACGGATTGAGCCAGTCAAACCAGCTCTTGTGGATGGTAAATCAATGTTGAATCTCATAAGTTTACCTTTTAAAAGCACACTTGGCAATCGTTTTCAGGGATTTTGGCATAAATTCCCAGCATATTGATCTGTTTTTGCTTCTGCTTAATTGGATGTCATTTAGTTTTGTGTGATTTGTGTGTTAGGCTAATGGGTTGGAAATGTCTCCATCTTTCCCACAGATGAATCGGAGTATCATACAGAATATGAAGAGGAGATGGCAGAGAGCGCACTGTCAGACATTGAGCTCTACAACCATTACAGTGAGCACACAGAGGAGGAACTGACCGCAGACACTGTGAGTCTATAGTACACACGCAGACTCAAAGGGACATATTCTATACTTTTGTGGCATTTTATTCTTGTTAGTCATGTCAACTTTTTCTTGCACCAAAACAGTCCTAATTTAAAGGGGTCATATGATGTTGCTAAAAAGAACATTATTTTGTGTATTTGGTGTAATGAAATGTGTTTATGTTGTATAAGGTTAAAAAAACCCATTATTTTCCACATACTGTACATTGTTTCTCCTCTATGCCCCGCCTTTCTGAAACGCGCTGATTTTTACAAAGCTCATCGGTCTGAAAAGCGAGGTGTGCTCTGATTGGCCAGCTATCCAGTGCGTTGTGATTGGCCGAATACCTCAAGCATGTGACGGAAATGTTATGCCCCTTACCATATTGTGATGCCTTGTCCCGGCCAGAACGACGAGACACAAACATTAAACTCCATTATAAACGAGGCATTTGTTGCATCCACAAAGTAGTTTCGCTTTCACAACGAAACACACAACGCCTTCACGACATGGCAGTGGCGGCAAAAACAATATTACAGCGAGAATAAAAGTTACGCCTTCTTTCTTTGCGTGAACATTTGGGGGGCGTTATGCAAATCTTCCCACATGGCGTTGACATGTGGGGGCGTGTTAGAACGAGCCATTTTAGGTAGGCGTGGTTGACTCTTAACTTTTATAAAGAATATCTCTTTGGATTTGAGACTTTAGTCTTTGCAACTTTACAGATCTTCTTTATGCACCAAGAGCTTGTAACACTCCAAAGAGAAAGGAAAAATTTAAATCGCATCGTATGACCCCTTTAAGTTAACATTGTCATGCACTCTGATTCCAATAAGAAATGCAACTGTGGTTCACGATTATTTGATTTATCTGATCATAAATTTTTGTCATTTCATTTGTTTTAGATCCACTTTTAATGTTAGTCATGGTTTCTTAAATCTAAATCTAAAGTCGTTATTTAGAAAAAAAATTCCACCACCTCTCTGAATTTTACAATAGAAATGCTACTGTATCCTTAAGATGTCTGTATGTAAACAAGCATAGTTCACACAGACATTGAAAACATGGTGAAGTTATGTTAATGTATGCATCACCATGAATTTCTAAATAACCAGTTTGTGCCTCATGCACAAATATTTAATGGGTGGACTGGGAAGGGAATTTTAAGCTTATATTATACCATTCCATTGTTTGGGGTCAGAAAGATATATTGTTTTTATTCATACATTTATTGATACATTTATTCAACAAGAACACAATAAATTGATCAAAAGTGATAGTTAATACGTTTATAATGTTACAGAAGATTTCGATTTCAAATAAATGCTATTTATTTCTGTTCATCAAAGAATCCTAAAAAAAATGTAGCATGATATTTAGCAGCATAAATGTTTTCAACACTGATAATGCAAAATGTTTCTTGAGCAGCAAATCAGCATATTAGAATGATTTCTGAAGGATCATGTGACTCTGAAGACTGGAGTAATGGCTAATGTTACAGGAATAAATTACATTAAAAAATATATTAATATAGAAAAAAAATCTTTTAAATTTGAATAATATTTCACTATTACTGTCAAATAAATGTAGCCTTGGGGAGCATTGGGGGCTTTTCAAAAACATAAAAAAAATTGTACCGACCCCAAACTTTTGAAAGGCTGTGTAAGTCTACATAGTACATCAAATGAGGAAAAAAGCCAAAAAGTCCTATGAATCCTAAAAAATAAACTGACTGATCATATTGATGCTTATGCCCAGGATGAAGAATTCGAGAGGTCTCATAGGCAGCGTGTGCGTTCTGACGTGGAAAACCTAGGGCCCGTGTCCTCCAAAACACCACAGACCTCTAGCCCCAACAGTTCTCCAGCCCTCCACAAAAGAACAGCACAAGGACTAAAATCCCTCCATCCCGACCACTGACCCAGATATCAGCATGGCAGTGAACAAACACTGGCACACCCATGATTTGGGGTTTGGCCTTCTGTACACATTCCAGTCACACCAAGTACATCCAGGCCTTGAGGAACAGGGACTGAGTACTTTATGTATTTACACAAGCCTTTTTCCCCTCTCATAAAAAAATCCAAAGAAAACATCTATTGCTGCAATGGAAGTTTAAGATGGACATGCTGGGTAACATTGCATGAGGTTGAAATAATACCTGGCCTTGCATGTGAGCAGTAACTCAAGACTATCCCAGAGTGTCTGTGAAGTTTCATGCTGACTATGAGCTCTTTTGATTGCCAAGCGTCGTCTTCACTCCGTCTTGAATTACTGGTTAATCAATAGAGTAGGAAATTCCACAATTAAGACAATCAGCTACAACTTTCTTTACAAACAGTTAGATTGGATTGCATGTTCGGCTGATTATTTCTTCTGTAAATGAAAGTAGCAGAAAAGAGCGAAATAATGATTTAGAGTTAAAAAAAAGAAAGTGATATTGAATGTAGAGTTCTCTGTTTATAAGCTCAGATGACCATTGTTGACTTTTTGTTTCATTTAAACCTCTCAAAGACTGTTTGGCAAGTTGATTTTGGCTGTTTCACACAGGTCAGTAACTCCTAGCTCAGGGGTACATAATCTATGGACAGTTGAGTGATCGATTTAAACTAACCAGCATCGTATATCACACCGAATGTGTCTGATGAGTTAATCATGCCTCTAGCTGCATGTGATCAAACAATGCAACTCACAAAAGCAAGCCTATCAATGCAATACTTTTTATATTTCTTGTTTTTGTTGTGAAAATCACTGTATGATACCTGTAGTGCCTTTTAATCTTAGTACTAGCCATACAAGACAATGAGAGTTCAATATTGGTCCAGAAATATATTAACGGTCTAACCACAATGCCAGTATTGATTAATGTGTATGTGTGAGGTATCATTTGATTTTTGATTATGCCGCCATGACTGACTTTAATTTGGAGTTTTGTGGTCATGCCATTGTTTTTGAATCTTCCGGAACAATCATAATGCTGTGTGCCAATAGTTTTCGCTTAAATCTGTTGTAACACTGTCATAAAGCTAAAAAAGAAAGCACTTATGTTGTCAGCATTGGCTGTTTAGGGTCAGTTAGTTTCCAAATTTAAAGAAACCACAATATGGACATCTGAAAAACCAAATGAGAATATGCTATTGTTTTCAATTGATGGGAGAATCTAGTGTCATTGTGCAAAGTCTTAAAATGCTGATTCCTAATAAACTGTATTTTGTTTTTGTTTTGAGTTCCAGTGTTGAAAGAACTCTGAAGATTTTGAAATATTTGTTTATTTGCATATGTTGCATAATGCAGGACGGCTCACATTTACCCTGTCTGCTGTATGCTGCACTCCAGGAGCCAAGTGTGCCCGGCGGTAATTATGAGAATGAATTATGGAATTCGGCTGTAAGTCCATGGTTTTTCTGCCTAATGGAGTTGCTGCCGTCTTCAATCATTGCTCGGTGTCAACTCTGAGCAAAACAGCCTCAGCAGGCTGCTGCACGTGAGATTTAATGCACTCAGACATGTAATGAAGACGAAACACTTCCAAATTAGTTTTGTGAAGTGAAAACTAGGAGATAATCACACATGATGAACAAACGTCTATGCATCACATGCACCGTACTGGGTTTAGGGTCAGTCAAGTGTTTTGCTAGTTTATGGATATTGGAGAACCTGTTAGTAAGAATTTGCCATATATATACAGCTGTTTTTTTAGCATATTTTGTTTGAAAGAACCTTTTGACCCTAAGATTTGTGGACATTTGTTATGTTGCTTTAAATTTATATGCTGCAAAGTTTTTTAACCGATTGAAGCACAACTTCAATATATATATACAGGTGCATCTCAATAAATTAGAATGTCATGGAAAAGTTAATTTATTTCAGTAATTCAACTCAAATTGTGAAACTCGTGTATTAAATAAATTTAATGCACACAGACTGAAGTAGTTTAAGTCTGGTTCTTTTAATTGTGATGATTTTGGCTCACATTTAACAAAAACCCACCATTTCTCTTGATTGGATGAGCTTTAAATAGATTAATTAGACCATTTTTATTACTTTGCATCCCCTTCTTTTCTTTGTTTCTGTTTAGGCCTGTTTTCTAGCTCAAAATCACCTGCATCTCCTGCATCTTCACCTCATCGTTGTCATGGAGAAATGCTTTCTGGAATCACAGTCTGTTGTTTAAAGATGGTATGATTCATTTAGTCTTTTCAGATTACATGTACTTTTGTCACCCGTGGTCCACTTCTCACCTGGTGTGCTGTAGACAAATGGGATATTATAATGGACGTCCTGTGTTTTCCAGAACAGCATGAAAATAATGAATTAATTAATGATTGAGCCAAACACCCACTGCACCTTTTTTGGGTGAATCAGCTTAGCTACTTCTAGCTTTTACATTTGAATGTATGATAAATTGTTCATCTGTCATATATCTGCCATATTTTATATCTTGTTTAATACACTATAAACACTCAAAGTTTTCCTCAAATGCTCATTATTTATGTTGCACTAAGTGATCTAAAGACAACTTTCTACTGACTACAGGGCACTTTAAAAATCCAAGAGGCCGTGTGTCCATTGCCCTGGCTGAGGAGATATTGTGAGCTTGCAGAAGTGCTAATAAGATAATGAGAGATGGCACGGTTTGGGTGAAAGGTGAGGAATATGTCTGAATGTAGGAGAGAGAAGCCATTAAAGCTGGTCTTTATTTAAACTGTCAAAACTCTGGGAATGTTCAGTGCACTGCCGATGCCAGTGTGTTAATTATGCATTCTTAAGTGTATGAATCGGGGAAAAAAAGGTTATTTGTATTCACCTTTTTGCAATTATTTTCTGCAATTAATTCAGCCTGAACCACTTAAAGGCACAATATGTAAGATTTTTTTATTAAAATATCCAAAGACTAGAACAGTGTTGTATATTTTGCTGACGTGTGTACTTACATTATCCCAAATGTTTCGAAGAATGTTTAAATCCAGAGAAATAAGCAATTTTATCTAGTGACACGAGCGTGTCCATAGTGTCATTGTGTCGCCTGCCAATGACGTCATACACCCTCGATTTCCGGTTTTGTTTTGTAGAAAACATGGAACCACCAAAGACACTTTAATATGCTATGCATTTTATTAGACGGGTGACAGAGTAGCATTATAACAGAACTTTCAAATGTATCTAGTATAATAAAACAGCGCTGCTTACTTCCGCTGCTTTCCGGAAGAAGCGGAAGCCGTCGACTGTGGCATAATAAAAGCTCCGCTGCTTTCGAGCCGTGTGTCGCGCTCCTTCAGCGGCCTCGTTTTGCTTCGACGGCTTTCAGCCTCACTCTGCTTCATACTACGACATTAATAAATCTTTAGTACATTAGCTCATCCATGAACATGATTTCTGCCGGAGTCCCATCGGATTGCTTCGGCTGTGGGGATGAAGATGACAACTCCCATGATTCCACACTCAGTCACTGCGTCATCAAACTACACCTTTGTTTCTTTGTTTGTTTTGAATACATGCCCTCTAGTGGCAAAAAATTACATATTGTGCCTTTAATACATAGAATGTAATGTGTAGTATACTTAAGGTATAATTGCAGCCTGTTTTGTTTTTCTTAAAATTTAGATTTTTTAAATTTAGGTTTGTATTTTGAAAATCACCCACTATGTAATATAAAGAATTCTGCATGCAAATATTACAAATATGATAGCAATTTAGTTTTTTGCTGCATTGGAAATAGTGGTATTTATTTCAGGAAATGCAGATCTAGTTCTCTCTGATATATTATGAAATAATATATTATTATTGTTAATGTAGTATATTCATATGAAATAATCTCTAAAATGTTATTTAACCATCTAAATTTAAAATTATTTAAATATTAAAATTAGTTTTGACTGCTTTTATTGTCCTCATTTGTAAGTCGCTTTGGATAAAAGTGTCTGCTAAATGACTAAATGTAAATTGGTATGATTCTGATTCACTCTGTCATCCACAAATGACTGCAGAAATGACTCTGCAAAACTGCAGTTCTGGTCACTTTCTGTATCTTCCACTAGGTGGCGACATGTTGCAGCCTGCTGCCTGCCCTCCTATACTCGATGACTTCCTCATGTGGTGATTAGGAGCAGGTAAAGGAGGGTTATTTACTCTGTTGTTTAGCTCCTTTCAGAATGACGGACGAGGGGCCGCCGTGACCTTTCTGCTCCGCTGAAGCAGACTTATATTTTGCCAGCCTTGTTAATTCATTGTCTTGTTCTCCCCCAAGAATAGGCACAAACATCACCACTAATTAATGAGTTTGTGAGGAGAAATATGGGTCATGGTCTCTGAAAAACTGAGCGGTTAAAGGAATGCTCACCTAAAAATGAAAATTCTGTCATTATTTACCCTCAGATTTTTCCAAACCGGTTTGACTTTTTGTTCTGTGGAAAACAAAAGGTGAATCTAGGCCACTCTATTCAAAATAATGAAAGTGAATGAGGTCTGTCAAGTTCTGAAAAGAAAAATCACCATAAAAGTGCCCCACATTACTTGTCCACTATATTCCAAGTCTGAAGCTTATGACGGTTTGTTTGAGGAACAGACTGATATTTAAGTCATTTTTCATATTCACCCCAGTTCTCTTTGCAGTGTTCATGAGAGAAGTGGTGATGCCTTGTTTGTGAACTAATTGTTCATTTGAATCATATCTATCAACGAAGCGTATCATCTAGTTCACAAAACAAGTCTAAATGTTTCGATCACAAGTCCTGGTTTCGAGTTGATTTGGTAAAAACAGGTAAACCCTGGACTATTTTCAATGAATAAAAACGTTCATTTCTGTCACATAGATTCAGAAGACATAAAAACGACTTTCTTTTGTGTCTTTTTGAAGCTTGACAGACCCAGTCTTTATTCACTTGTATTGAAAAGAGTGGCCTGGATATTCTTCAGAAATTCTCCTTTGTGTTCCACAGGAAAAAGAAAATCTGGAACAACATGAGGGTGAGTGAATACTGATACAGTACTATTCTGTGTGTGTGTGTGTGTGTGTGTGTGTGTGTGTGTGTGTGTGTGTGTGTGAATCATCATATTGGTTGATCTAAGTGGGAGTTTCAACAGGTTTGGCTGGATCTTGAGATTGTTTGGCATAGATTAAAGCAAAGAATGTATAAAACAAATAACAATGCTGCAATTTTTGGCACTTTCATAAAAAAAAAACCGATCATGCACAAGTGGACAAATGTAACACTTTGCAGTATATTTAACTAATTTGCTTTCTGCCACTCTGGTGTGGCGTAACTGTCTGGTACTCTCTATCTTTTGCTCTTGCTCTCTCAATCCCCATTCATCTCTTGTCTTTAAAAAGCAATTTGGGTTCCAACAGATAAATGATGCACTGCTCCGCAGAAGTCGGAGCTCCCTCCTGCTCTGACGCACATGAAATTGAATGAAAGTATACATTTCTTACTAACTGAATAGAAAAGAAAACTTTTTATTTTTATTTTTAGAAATAATTCACAATGCACAACCTTCACATTTCGGCCTTTAAGCTTTTGATTTTGCCAATTGAGGTCCATGAAAAATGCATTACTGCATTTTTTGTTTGTTTTAACTGTGAATGTATCAAACATTTTATAAATGGCAATCGACAGTATCTGTCACATAGTACTTAACATGTTTTGAACCTGGCACCTTGGTGAATTTAGGCGCACAGAGAGGAATATTATCCATGCTTAAATGGTGAACCGTAGGACAGAAGATCTCCTGGTGTTAGTTTAGCCCCCAAGCACACTCATTGAGAACTAAATTAAGAAAAATTGGAAAATAATTT